CTAGCCCCAGTGGCGTTGGCCTCGCCTCCGTCGGAGCTCCTCCGACCATCGGCCTCGCGCGCGGCCTCTTCATGCCGCCGCGGATGACCTCGGCGGCGGGTGGCGTCGCGCCGGCGCCGGCCCGAGCCGCCGCCCCCTCCTCCTCAAAGCTCCCCAATGCGGCGCCGCCAAAGAAGGGCAAGACATCGGCAAAGAAAAACAAGGCGGCGGACGGCTCCGGCACCTCCAAAGCGAGGAGGAAGAAGCTTGCGGGGCGTGCGACGAGCGCGGCGGCTGCCGAAGCGCCGGCGAGCTCACTCGTTGAGCCGGCGGCCGGCGCGCACAACATGTTCGACGAAATGCCTCCAAGGTAAAAAATTCTAACTTTTCATTTTTTTGTTATTTTTTGAATGCATTCACATATAGATAGCTTATTTGCATTGTGCAAAAAAATTTGTAGTCTTAATGATGATGCATACATGTCCACGATGGGTGTTGGCTCCAACAATTCGCATTGGTCTCAAACCAATGACATGCATTTCGAAAACCATGAGTTCGAGGTGGGCGAGGAGGGTGAGGGCATTGTCGACGCACCGAAAGGAAGAGCGGGCAATTACAGCAACGCCGATGACATCTTACTATGCAATACTTGATTGCAAGTGTCGAGGGATCCATCTGTTGGAGGTGATCAAAGTAGAGATGATTATTGGCTTCGGATGAAGGAACACTTTGATGTTCGCAATGTGAGTGGAATTAACCGCTTCGGCCGATCACTTAGGTCCCGGTGGTCGACAATCAACTCGGATTGTCAAAGGTGGACGGCCTGTCAAAAGGCGGTTGACACGTTGCACCCAAGTGGCACAAATGATGACGATAGAGTAAGTGGCATTTCATACATGTTCATCTACTTGTTGGTGGTGCTAACTTGTTTTGTTTTCATGTAGTACAACATTGCGCAAAACTTGTTCAAAGAAGAGGAGAGGAAAACCAAGAAGGGGAAGATCAAGAAAGGAAGGGTATTTGGTTTGCCTCATTGCTATGAAGTGTTGAAGGATGATGAGAAATGGAAGAAGCGTGAAGATTTGGATGATTTGCATTTGAGCAACAAACGAAAGCGAACAATTAAGTTGGATGATGATGATGAGGAGGAGGATGATGCATCAAGTGATGACGGCAAGAGAAGCCCCACACCCAACTCGGTTTCATACTCGAAGCCAAAGCGACCGGATGGGTGCAAGAAAGACAAAACCGAAAAGAAAAAGAGGAAAGGAGATGATGAGCTCAAAAATGCTATGGAAGCAATTGTGAAGGCAAGAAAAGAAGCCAACAAGGTGAGGAAAATGACAAGGAACCAAGATGCCGCGGCCGAGGAGAGGAGGTTGGCGGCCGAGGAGAGGAGGGTGGCGGCCGAGGAGAGAAAGGTGGCTTTGGAGGAGAGGAAGGTGAGCAATGAGGAGCGTACTAAATTGTTGGAATAGGAGAAGCACTTGTTCTTCTTGGACACATCTAACCTCAATGTGGCGCAAATGGAGTATGTCAATCTAGCCCGTGAAGAAGTCTTGATCCAAAAAAGAGCCATGGTTCGTGCAATGGGTGGCGGTGGTATCGGCGCCATGGGTGGCGGTGGCTTCGGCGCCATGGGTGGCATGGGTGGCTTGGGTGGCTTTGGAGCTCCCGCCGACGCTATGGCCACCATGGGAGGCATGAGTTTTGCTTCTCTCATGGGAGGCATGGTGCACCTCCGGCCGCCATGGGCAGAATGTCTTTCAATGTGCCTCCTCGCACACATTCCCATGAAGATGCCGTTGAAGATCTTGCCAACACCGTCGGAGCTTCACGTGATGCGGTGCGCGATGAAGAGAGGGAGGAAGATTCATCTTCGGAGGCGGAAGGATCGTCTTCCGAAGATGAGGACGAGGACGAAGACGAGGACGAGGAATGATGTGTCTTTCATTTGTGTATTGAACTTGATTTGCATTTTAAACTTGGTTGGATGAACTTGTGGGCATGATTTTAAACTTGTGGGCATGAACTTTTTTTCATCAACTTGTTTGTGTGAAATTTTGTGTTGAAAATGTTCATCATTTTGTGTTGAAAATGCCATATGCAATGCACTGGCGAGTCGCGCGCGCTGCATTTTTGCGCGCTGCTGGAGCGGCGCGCGCGCTGCATTTCAGCGCGGCTGCTGGAGCGGGCACTGCGCGCCGCGCCAAACCAGACGATGCGCGCGCGGTAAATCTGTTTTTTGCGCGCCGCGCGTCCGGCGCCTGTTGGAGATGCTCTTAGGGCCTGCTTGGTACCGCTCTGCTCTACAACTCCGGTAACGGAGTTGGTGGAGCTGCAGTTCAAAACGACGAAGTTGCAATTTTCCTATTCCAGGATTCGAGGGTTATTACTGAACAGGGCCTTAGTTGGCGCCTTCCATATTTGAATTCCCATGCTCTGTCTGGTTAAGTTGACGATCAAGAGAAGTTTTTCTTACATCATTGATCGATTTTGAAATGGAGAAATAGCATAGATCGACGATGACGAAAGAAGGGTAAATAAGTACCAGTATGTTTATTGCATCAACGTGCTAAACTATACAGCAAACAGCCCACACTCCGTACAAGCTGGCGATACTGGCAACGCCATCCAAATACAATAGGCAACAACAACGGAAATGTATGCCAGGATGCAAGATACCATATACTCATAAAGTCATAATATAGGACACAGCAGCGTCTGCAGAAGCTAGAACGTAAACGAACGCAGGCATCATCCAAATTCAAATAGCAAAGCACTGAACTGTATGGTGCTTACGAACGAACGGCACAGATCCGGGGGCTTCTTCAGCCGCTGCGGGTCCAGACGACGTGGTCCTGCGGCAGGAAGTGGCACACCGGCGCCCCGCCGGGCTTCACCTTGAGCACCTGGAACGCGACGTGCCTCGGGTTCCAGCCGGCCGTGTTGGCGTGGCACACCGCCACGGCCTCCACCGCCGTGCCGTCCTTGCCGACCATCGACACCGTGTACGCCCTCGTCGCCCGCGTCAGGTGGCACGCGAACACGGCGTACGCGTACGGCTCCGCGTGGCAGGCCACCAGCTGATCGGCCCCCGCCGCGCGCCTCACGCCGGCCATGGTGTACTCCTGCTCCGGCGACCCCTCCTTCCCGACCACCGTGGAGGCGGCCCTCACGTGGCTGGTCCCCAGGCTGGACGTGGCGAAGTCCACCATGGACTCCAGCGACGTGGCGCACGACTTCTTCTCCCCCTTGGCTGCCGTCGCCTCGCACTCGCGCAGCGTCTGCTTCATCTCCGCCGCCTCGGCGGAGTCCGGCGCCACCGAGAAGCGGCTGAGGATCTCGGGGACCTTCTCCGACGAGAACGGGATGGCGTCGGCCTCGCTTCTCGGCAGGAACTTCTCGCCGGCGCCCGGGGTGGCCATGAAATGGACCTTCATCTTCTTCCCGGCGTGCAGATCCTTCTCCAGGAAGAAGAGCGCGGCGCTGGGGTCGTCGTGCAGCTGCGTCTCCGTCGCGGCGTAGTTGTATATGAAAGGCGAGACGTTGACGTGGACAGGCTTGCCCCGGGGTTTGCCGCCTGGCTTGCCGTAGCCAGGCCTGACGTTGACGCCGACGCCGCCCTTCCCGACGCCGACCGTGGTGCCGCCTGGCTTACCGTAGCCGGGCTTGACGTTGACTCCGACGCCGCCCTTCCCGACGCCAACGGTGGTGCCGGTGCCACCAGGCTTGCCGTATGCAGGCTTCACGTTAACGCCGACGCCACCTTTCCCGACGCCGACGGTGGTGCCGCCGCCAGGCTTCACGTTCACGCCG